GCAAGGAGGTAAGGATGGAGGGGTTTATGCTTGAATCGTATCGGAATCGTTTTGGAGATTTTGCTAAAGATATGGAAGGATACATAAAACAAGGGAAGGTTACGTCTAAGAATAAAATAAATATTGGAATTGAAAGCTTTTTGGATAGCTTGGCCTCCCTGTTTTCTAGCTCTAATATTGGAAAAGTTGTTGTTCAAGTTCATAATTAAGGTACTGTGATGTCTTCTGTTTTGGACAATTTTTTTTTCTTGAAAACTTTTACAAGAAAATAAATTAAATTTACTTTTATCAGAATTATATGTTTATTTCTCTCTATCATATTTCACTAGTTTGTTGTAATGAAATATATATCACGGTTGGTTTGGTTTCGATTGAAAATAATTTATTGTATATTTTAATTAAATTTTTGTTATCACACATTATTTTTATATTTATTTTATGATACGGATGGTTGAAAATATTATTCAGTTTCTAATATTTAAAAATAATAATTAAATATTATTTAAAAATCCTAAACCCGTGAATAAACATGAAAAATCCAATCTATATTCTATTTAAATTCAAACAGATAATGGGATCTAAAATATAATGATTTATATTTTTTTAATATGGTTTTATTTGGATTTAAATTAAATTAAACATATATTTATTTTATAATTTATTTTAAATAAAACTTATTCGACTTAATTGCGTCTTATTATATTTAACTCAATTTAATCTTATCACTTTAATTTTTATTTAATATAATATACTACAACTCAATCCAATTTGATTTAATTTAATTCAATCTAACATAGATTAGATCTGTATTAATTCGATTTGATCAAATCAATTTTGACTTGGAATAGTCTAGATTGACTTGACTTGGTTTAGTTTAATTCAATCCAATTAAGTCTAATATAACTTGATTTAGTTAGGTTTGGTGTAACTCGATCCAACCTACATGATTAGGTTTGACTTAATTAAACTATTTTAACTTAACTTGATGACTTAAATTGACTTGGACCAGTTTTACCTTTACCCGTAAAACTTGACTTGTTCTAATAAATCTAACCTAACTTGATTCAGTCCAATCTAATTTAGTCTAATTCAACTTGATCAAACTTAGCCTAAATGAGTGAAATTTAACTCCACCAAACCGATTCTATATTAAATTGACTTGACCTAAATTTAGCTAATATGACTCCATCTAAATTAATGTAACTTAATCCAATTTGATATGATTTAACTTAATTCAATTTTATTGTGATCAACCTAATCTCACCAAGTCAAACCTAATTTAACTTGACTAAATTTTATCTCACTCAATCCAACTTTGCTCGTTTAACCTAAATTGACTCAAATTAATTTAATATAATATAATACCTAAATTATCTAAATAATCTAATTTCACGTAATTCAATCCATTGTTCTATCCTAGTCAATTCGAATAGACTCATCTAACTTGATCTTGAATTTTTAAAATCTAAAAAATTCACTACAAGAAAATTGCGTATTACCGACGGATATTTATTGACGGATTTGTATCCGTTGAAAAATAATTATTACCGACGGAAATTACCGACGGATATAAAATATTTGTGGAACTTGATCTTACCGACGTATATATTCGTCGGTAAAATAATAATTAGTTATCGACGGATATATCCGTCGATAAATCCGTCGGCAATTGACAGATGAATTTACCGATGGATATATCCGTTGGTAAATCCGTCGATAAATTAATAATTAATTACCGACGGATATATCCAGTCGGTAAATTCATCTGTAAATTATCGACTGGATATTTCCAGTCGGTAAATTATCAATTAGTAAATATTCAACTAATTAAAAAATTAAATATTTTTTATTTAATAATTTCATTTAATCATAATTAGATTAATTTATAATAATTTCTTAAATTAAATAATTTTAAAAAATAAATATTTAATTATATATAAATATATAAAAATATATAAAAATATTTAATTGTATATAAATATATAAATATATAAATATATAAATATATAAATATATAAATATATAAATATATAAATATATAAAAATATAAAAATATAAAAATATAAAAATATAAATATATAAATATATAAATATATAAATATATAAATATATAAATATATAAATATATAAATATATAAATATATAAAAATATAAAAATATAAAAATATAAAAATATAAAAATATAAATATATAAATATATAAATATATAAATATATAAATATATAAATATATAAATATATAAATATATAAATATATAAATATATAAATATATAAATATATAAATATATAAATATATAAATATATAAATATATAAATATATAAATATATAAATATATAAATATATATAAATATATAAATATATAAATATATATAAATATATAAATATATAAATATTTATAAATATATAAATATATATAAATATATAAATATATAAATATATTAGTATATAAACATATAAATATATTTGTATATAAATATAATTTATTTGTAAATTATTATCGAAAAATTCTAGTAGACTTAGTGGTTGGAGTATCGACCTCTAACTCTATAATTGAAGCCTATAAAAATGTAATAGGGAAAAATAATTAATAATAAATAATAAAAATATAAAGGATATTCTATAAAATAAATAATCTATATAAGTAAAATATTTAATAAATAATAAAAATATTACAGACGGATTCTCGTCCAGTCGGTAATTTCGTCAAACATTTAGCGACGGATATATCCAGTCGGTAATTACAGACGGACTATTAAATCCGTCGGTAATATTTCTGAACAACCAAATTTTCAGCGGATTTTTGGTAGTCGAAAATCCGTCGGTAAATGGATATTACAGACGGATTTTTGTTATTACCGACGGATTTTGATCGTCTTATAGTGATTATTCAACTAATTTAATAAATAATCTAAAGTGTACAAATATAAATTTCAATTTAAGATTAATCTATTAAAATAAACATAAAATAGATTAAAGTTGAATAATTATAAATTGAATTTAAATATTTGGATTGTTTGCCATAAACTGTTTTCGTGATTTTCACACATAGTTAATTCGTGTTCAACTTACTTTGGTAAGGATATCCTGAATCCCACTTTTTTTATGTCATAGTCATTCATTTAATCTACATTTTAAATTTTAAATTTTAATACTAATAATAATAATAATAATAATAATAATATACTTAAAACTTGTGGAATATAATAATAATTAAAAAGGTAAAATGAGTTTTCTGTAATTTAAAAAATATATAATTTATATATAAATTTTAGAAGAATTATGCAAAATTTCTTTTGCAAATAATCTTTAGTTTAGAGAGAATTTCTCTTTTGTTTTCTCTCATAAAAAACAATTTTCAACAAATTTATCCAAATACACTTTAATATTTTCTTACGTTATTTTGTTATATCGGTTTAAACCGTAACTATTTAAAAAAAAAAAGATATAATTTCAGCGCTAACCCAAAAAGTAAGATATAGGAAGGAAAGTAAAAAATTAGGAAAAATCTATGTCAAAATTCACGTAATAACATTAAAAAAATTATCCTTAATAAAATATACCTTTTCTATCTATTTAACTAATTTTGAATTATATATAATACTTCAAAAATTAGCTAGATATATATAATTCTCCCTCTGTATTTAGATCCCATAATTTGATATATCATCGGATATAATTAGAGTGTTCGGCTCACTTTAATTATTGTTTTAATGATCTAAATAAATATAAATATAAATATCAAATATAATTTAGTTTGATATAATTTTAATTTAATAAAAATCTAAAGCAAATCAAACCCATGTTTATATTCGTTTGATCAATTTTATGCTTCATATTACTATACAGTTGTTAAAAAAAAATTTTACAAGAGAAATTACAGAACATTTAAAAAAAAACTATCAACATTTTATAATAAAAAATTATTAAATAAAAATATATTATTATAATTTAAAATTGTAATTAAAAGTTGTAATAGATTATAAATAACATATAATCAAATTATAAAATAATATTTAACTTACATATTTATATAGTTTGTTAATTGATAATTAATTTTAAATATAAAATATTATACTCAAGTATAATAAATAATTTAGTTTGATTCTTAGTTTTTAATTTCAAATCTAAATAGCTTAAGGAAAAATATATTAAAAAAATCTAATATAATTTTTTTTCTTTACTATTTCATACCTGAATTAAAATATATATTAACTTTTGTGTGCATTTTTTTCTAAGTTTTTGAAAGAAAATAAAATATTTTCATAAATTATTTGAAATTGAATATGAAGGATGGAATGATAACGGATGGAGAAATAAATTAACAAATATTGTTGTAATAGAATTTTGTTATCATAGTAAAAACATAAAAATGAATTGAATTGTATTGATTTAGTTGGGACATAAGAGTGAACATGTATAACCTATTTCAGTACTTTATTATTGGCCCAAAAGAATGGTATTGAAATTGAAATCCTACTTTTCGGCTTAGATCAATATTTTTTTCTAGGCAAAATCAATTAAGTTGTCCCTTTCAGCACTTTATACAAGTTAGTTTATAACCCTAGTTTATACAATAAACATAAAAATAGACTAACATTTTATCCAAAATATTTTATAAGATTATATAACTTGTTAAGATAAAATGTTTTTATTAACTAATATTTAATATTAATTGACGGATTTTGTCTTTTCCATAAAATTTTAATTTCGAGTTTAAAAACAATGATTTAATTATTTTTTTAATTTTTAAAATTTAAAGTGATTAATTCTGAATTATTTAAATTATTTTTAATATCTCAAATTTAATAATTAAAGAATGAATTTAATTTAATTTTATATAAAATTAAAACCAACTTTTTTTATTAAAGATTAACAAATTATTTAACCGAAATTGACTAATAAAAACATAATTAAACATAACTTTCCAAACTATTTTCTTTTACATCAATGTCAAGGTTCATTTCTTGAGATGATAGGCTAAACTAGTTATAAAATTTCGTTATTCAAATTCAAGGGCCTAAGTTCCAATTTATAAATTTTGATAGAATTTATATTCTAAAGTTAATTCACGATAAATTTAATTTATGATTTGATCGTAAAAACTATTGGCAAGAAATTTTAATGTTTAATTCTTAAAATATAATATGATTAACATTGAACATATAACATAATTATTTTTTAAATAGGATTTAATTATTTTCAATTTTAAAGGGAAAATAGGGAATAATATTTTACAAATTAACACATGTACTTAAAAAATAAATCAACTTTTTATATAGTTAATGTTACAATGCCAATTTATTTTGTTAACATTTTGTTTCTATAATTTGGAAAATATAATTTGGAAAATACATTATGAACACCATAGTAGATTTAATCTTATTGATAACCTAGAAACAAAAAAAACTCATTTTTAATTGGGTAAAATATGTTAGAATTAATTTAATTAATTCATTTCATTATGTGACTCATATGAAATATAATGATGGACCCAAATGTGATTTAATAAAATATGATGACCTATTGGTTATTATGTGAAATTAGAATAAAATAAAGATAAAATAAATTATTAACTTACGGTAACCAATTTGATAGATGTTGGTTAATAAAAGGGATTACGGTTCTCTCTCTGGTCATAAAGTTTTTTTACGGTAAACCATCAACAAAGCGTGAGAAGAGAAAGAAAGACAAATACTACAAGAAAATCGCATATTTCCGACGGATTTTTACCGACGGATTTGTAGCTGTCGGAAAATGAGTCATTACCGACGGATATAGAATTTGATTTAACCGACGGATATATCCGTTAGTAAATCCGTCGGTAAATTAACAATTATTTACCGACAGATATTTCCATCAGTAAATTAACAATTATTTACCAAGCGGATATATCCGTTGGTAAAACTGTATAATAATTACTTAATATATTCTAATAAATTAATTATTCACCTAATTAAAAAATTAAATATTTTTTATTTAATAATTTAATTTAATCATAATTAGATTTATTTATAATAATTTATTAAATTAAATAATTTAAATATATAAATATATAAAAATGTAAAAATATAAATATATAAAAATATAAATATATAAATATATAAATATATAAATATATAAATATATAAATATATAAATATATAAATATATAAATATATAAATATATAAATATATAAATATATAAATATATAAATATATAAATATATAAATATATAAATATATAAATATATAAATATATAAATATATAAATATATAAATATATAAATATATAAATATATAAATATATAAATATATAAATATATAAATATATAAATATATAAATATATAAATATATAAATATATAAATATATAAATATATGAATATATGAATATATGAATATATAAATATATAAATATATAAATATATAAATATATAAATATATAAATATATAAATATATAAATATATAAATATATAAATATATAAATATATAAATATATAAATATATAAATATATAAATATATAAATATATAAATATATAAATATATAAATATATAAATATATAAATATATAAATATATAAATATATAAATATATAAATATATAAATATATAAATATATAAATATATAAATATATAAATATATAAATATATAAATATATAAATATATAAATATATAAATATATAAATATATAAATATATAAATATATAAATATATAAATATATAAATATATAAATATATAAATATATAAATATATAAATATATAAATATATAAATATATAAATATATAAATATATAAATATATAAATATATAAATATATAAATATATAAATATATAAATATATAAATATATAAATATATAAATATATAAATATATAAATATATAAATATATAAATATATAAATATATAAATATATAAATATACAAATATATAAATATATAAATATACAAATATACAAATATACAAATATACAAATATACAAATATACAAATATATAAATATACAAATATACAAATATATAAATATATAAATATATAAATATACAAATATACAAATATACAAATATACAAATATACAAATATATAAATATATAAATATATAAATATATAAATATATAAATATATAAATATATAAATATATAAATATATAAATATATAAATATATAAATATATAAATATATAAATATATAAATATATAAATATATTGTATTTATATATTTATTTGGATATACATTTATTTGTATATAAATATAATTTATTGTAAATTATAATCGAAAAATTCTGGTAGTTTAGTGGTTGGAGTATCAGCTTCTACGTGAATGACCTTGAAAAGGTTAGAGTGAATCATGTATGAAATAGTTTCATTGTTTCATACATAATTATTTATGAAGTTTGAATTACAATTTGGCTATAAAATTGGTTTCAATTTACATAATTATTTATGAAGTTTGAATTACAATTTATAACATACAATGAAACTATTTCATACATGATTCACTATAACCTCCCCAACCACGTTTTTTATACTTTTTTTTTCTAAATATTTAACCTCAAAATCATAAATTGTATTGATACTAGATATCAAAAAACATAAAATAAAAATAGTAAATGAAATAGGATACATATATCTAATTGGTGGGTTCCATCGTTTCTATGATTTTTTTAGAAACGGCCAGGTCCTCTCTATACACCGGAGCTTTTTTTTCTTTTCATTTTTGATTCATTTAATCAATGTTATTGTTAACTTGTACAGTTCACACTCTTTGGCTCTACCCATCCAATATTTAGTAAGTAGGTTTTTCCCAACCAAATCTAGTTATATAGTAACGGTATTTAATTATGAAAATTTGCTGGGTAGCTGACCCTCTTATCCATTCTTACAAAATCCATCCAAATTATTAAGGATATACTTTATTTTGATTTGAAATTGTATTTTCTCCGCTTAACGGGTAACTTTTTTTTGTTACCGATGGGAAACTCCTTCTCATCTTAAATTGCAAATTCTTCTTATTGGTTTTACACCAATCGAAATCATAAATTTGATACGAGATAGAAGAATGTAAAGAATTATATATAAGATAAGTTAAGATAGTGTGAATGTAGTTTTCGCATTCACACTATCTTAACCGATTACCAATACTGAAAAATTTGAATTGGTTTTTGTTTTTTTTTTAGTATTTAATCTGAACGAGTCGCACATACACCCTGGTACACGTTCCTCGGCGTTGAGGGCATCCCCGAAGAGCTGGGGATTTTGTGACGTTTCGAATTGGCTGTCTTGTGTTTCTAATAAGTTGTTTCATAGTTGGCATGGTAAGTCGTACTATATATATTTATAATGAGCAGGTTTAGATCTATCCTAACCGTGAATTACTTAAATTCTATATTACTTATAGCCTATATTATTTATACTCTATTAATAGATTAACTCTTAGCGATATTATATTAAAATTAAAGTAAGAAGATTCAAAAATTAAATTTAAAATCCTGTATATTATTAGAATAATCCTTGCCCCCTATTTTTTATTCAACTGCTACAAGATCTATAATTCCATGAGTTTGGGCTTCTGCTGCTGACATAAAAACATCCCTTTCCATGTCTTCTGTTATAACCCAAAAGGGTTTGCCCGTTCTTTGTACATAAACTCTTGTGATAGTTTCACGTATTTTCAGTAGCTCTTCCGCTTCCAGGATAAATTCTCCTGCTTGTGCCTCATAATAAGAACTAGCGGGTTGGTGGATCATTACCCTGATTCTATCCCTTAATTAGTATTTCCCTTATCTTGATAAATCTTTTGAGAATTCTTTTTCCTATATTGGTATATTGAGAAAGATTGTCTTTATTCCAAAGGTAAAAGGGATGGATAAATAAAAATAAGAAAATAAAAATGGGCAAAAAGAATATTCAATAACCGTACCTTGAAAATGTTAGAGTGAATCATGTATGAAATAGTTTCATTGTATGTTATAAATTGTAATTCAAACTTCATAAATAATTATGTAAATTGAAACCAATTTTATAGCCCCTATGCGTGAATGACCTTGAAAAGGTTAGAGTGAATCATATATGAAATAGTTTCATTGTATGTTATAAATTGTAATTCAAACTTCATAAATAATTATGTAAATTGAAACCAATTTTATAGCGACCTTGAAAAGACAAATGACGTGATAGGGTTAGGGTTATGTAAATTGAAACTAATTTTATAGCCCCTATGCGTGAATGACCTTGAAAATGTTAGAGTGAATCATGTATGAAATAGTTTCATTGTATGTTATAAATTGTAATTCAAACTTCTACAAATATAAATGAGGGGATATAAATAATTATGTAAATTGAAACCAATTTTATAGCGACCTTGAAAAGACAAATGACGTGATAGGGTTAGGGTTATGTAAATTGAAACCAATTTTATAGTCCCTATGCGTGAATGACCTTGAAAAGGTTAGGGTGAATCATGTATGAAATAGTTTCATTGTATGTTATAATTTTCCTTGAAAAGACAAATGACGTGATAGGGTTAGGATTATGTAAATTGAAACCAATTTTATAACCCCTATGCGTGAATGACCTTGAAAAGGTTAGGGTGAATCATGTATGAAATAGTTTCATTGTATGTTATAATTTTTTATGTTTTTACTGACATCATGGACTGTGCTTGCAGAGCACATTTGCTTGTTCCTTTTTATTATGCATGATTATTATATATTACGTTATATCTACTATATATTATTTTGTCCACGTATAATACATTACATGTAATAACTGCTGATAATGCACTGTCATAGGATATGCTCAGTTTTACTTTACGTGATAAGTATAAATGAATGGTTGTCACTGTTGTGGGATGTACCCATATATAAATGCCTTAATTGCAAATTTTGTTTTGCAAATTGAATTGAATTATTTCCGCTATAATTTTTTTGGTAGTGAATAATTAGCTATTACGTTATATCTACATATTATTTTGTCCACGTATAATACATGTAATAACTGCTGATAATGCACTGTCATAGGATGTGCTCAGTTTTATTTTACGTGATACGTATAAATGAATGATTGTCACTGTTATGGGATGTACCTATATATAAATGCCTTAATTGCAAATTTTGTTTTGCAAATTGAATTGAATGATTTCAGTTATAAGTTGTGCATAAAAGTTTTGAATTGACAATTTCAATAAAATTAAGGTCTTATGATTGAAAATTAATCCTATAATGGAAATTGAAATTATGGGTTTCAATTTTATTTATGACATATAATATTTTATTATGTGAATAATTTACACATTTATTAAAATTAATAATAATAATAAATGGTTAATAGCAATTAAAGATATTATTTATTTGAAATTAAGCATGATAATTTTTGTTAATCACCAAAGTGACCAAAATTTTAAGGTTATTTTGATTTCAAATTATTAATGATTTTATTTCAATTACCCATAATATAAACGCTAAAATTATGAATAATTGATTTATGGGTTAATTGAAGTTCATTATTATAAAGCATTTTAGGATCACTCAAAGGTTGATTAATTGTTATTATAATTAATGAGCATAAAGGTAGATAATTTTGTGTGCGTCACTAGTTTTATTTATATACCAAAACATGATTCTAATTTATGCATATTTTAATTATCATTAATGTTATAAAATGATTAGTGTAATTATGTTTGTGTATTGATGGATCTCACAAATGAGAACATTAGTATATAGAGAATGGTAATTTATGGTTGAATATGTATTTATGTTTAATTTTATGACTCAAAATATTAATGTTAGGCATGTGTTAATTGTAGTAGCTATTCATGTAGCTCTGCATTCGCTATCTTCGTCTGTTCCAGTCTTTAATGAGTTAAATTTTCCTGACTGGAGTGAACTTCACTTAGGTGTGTTGGATCTTGATTTGACTTTCCAAGTTGAAAAATCGGCTGCTATCACTGATGATAGTAGTAATGAAGAGAAAAATCATTATAGAGTTTGGGAAAGATCAAACAGACTTAGCCTTATGTTTATGCGAATGAGTATAGCAAACAATATTAAGTTTGTTCTTCCCAAAACTGAAGATGCGAAAGAGTTTATGAAATTTGTGGAAGAGCGCTCTCAAACTGCTGACAAATCCCTCGCTGGGACATTGATGAGTATGTTGACCACCATAAAGTTTGATGGTTCTCGTAATATGCATGAACACGTAATCGAAATGACAAATATCGCAACAAGACTCAAGTCTCTTGGAATGACAGTGGAAGACAATTTTCTTGTGCAGTTCATTTTGAACTCGTTACCACCTGATTATGGTCTGTTCCAGATGAACTATAGCACCATGAAAGACAAATGGAATGTGCATGAATTGAACAATATTTTAGTCCAGGAGGAGACCAGACTCAAGAACCTAGGAAGCCACTCTATTCATTACGTGAAAAATTAAGGAGCTAAAAAGAAAGTTGTAAAGAAACATGGAAAGGGTAAAAGACCATTAAAGATTAACGAGTCCTCTACTAACATTCAGAAGAAAAATGACAAATGTCATTTCTGTGGGAAGTCTGGACTTTTCCAAAAGGACTGCATAAAGCGTAAAGCTTGGTTCGAAAAGAAAGGTGATCATAGTGTTTACGTATGTTTTGAATCAAACTTAACTGAAGTTCCCAATAATACTTGGTGGATTAATTCTGGATGTACGACTCATGTTTCTAATGTGATGCAGGGATTCCTTTCAACCTGAACCATAAACCCAAATGAGAAGTTCGTCTTCATGGGAAATAAAGTCAAGGTTCCAGTGGAAGTTGTCGGGACTTATCGTTTAATCCTTGACACCGGATACCACTTAGACCTTATGGATACTTTTTATGTACCTAGTATAACTAGATATTTAGTTTCTTTGTCTAAACTTGATGTTGCTAGATACTCTTTTAAGTTTGAGAATGATTGTTTCAGTTTATTTAAGCGTACTTGTATGATTGGAACTGGTACACTTTATGATGGTTTATATAAATTGAATTTGGATAATTTATATGCTGAAACTCTCATGACCTTGCATCATAATGTTGGCACTAAACGTAGTTTCTTGGATGAAAAATCTGCTTACTTGTGGCATAAGCGTTTGGGACATTTTTCCAAAGAAAGAATGCAAAGATTAGTAAAGAATGAAATCCTTCCGGATTTAGATTTTACTGATATGAATATATGTGTGGATTGTATTAAAGGCAAACAAACAAAACACACAAAGAAAGGAGCCACAAGAAGCACTCAACTTCTTGAAATCATACACACTGATATATGTGGTCCATTTGACGTAAATTATTTTAATAAAGAGAAGTATTTCATCACCTTCATTGACGATTTCTCGCGTTATGGACATGTCTATTTACTATATGAGAAATCTCAAGCAATAAATACCTTAGAAAGTTATATAAATGAAGTGGAGAGGCAATTAGACAGAAAGGTGAAAATTATCAGGTCAGATAGAGGTGGTGAGTATCATGGAAGATATGATGAAAGTGGACAACACCCTGGTCCGTTTGCTAAGTTCCTTGAGAAACGTGGTATTTGTGCTCAATACACAATGCCAGACATACCACAACAAAATTGTGTGTCTGAAAGGCGTAATCGAACCTTAATGGATATGGTTAGGAGTATGTTAAGTAATTCATGTTTACCTGTATCATTGTAGATGTATGCTTTGAAGACTGTCATGTATTTGTTTAACAGGGTTCCTAGTAAAGGTGTTCAAAAGACTTCTTTTGAGTTATGGACAAGTAGGAAACCCAGTATGAGACACCTACATATTTGGGGTTGTCAGGCAGAAGTAAGAATTTATACTCACAGAGAAAGTATTAAGAAGATCTCACAGAGAAAGAAAGTCTGCTATTTCGAATGATTACGTGGTTTATCTACAAGAGTCAGAAAATGACCTAAGTATTGATAATGACCCAGTTTCATTTTCAGACGCCATTAATGGTGATAATTTTGACAAATGGTTAGATGCTATGAAAGATGAGCTTAAATCAATGGCACAAAATGGTGTATGAGATCTTGTGGAATTGCCAGAAGGATGCAAGAGTGTTGGGTATAAATAGGTCTTTAAGACTAAGCGTGACTCTATGACAATATCGAACGTTACAAGCTCCGTCTTGTTGCAAAATGTTTTACTCAGAAAGATGACATTGATTATAAGGAAACATTTTCACATGTTTCTAAGAAAGATTCCTTTAGAATTATCATGGAATTAGTAGCTCATTATGATCTTGAGTTGCATCAAATGGATGTTAAAACTGCTTTTCTAAATGGAGATTTAGAAGAGGATGTTTATATGAATCAACCAGTGGGGTTTATTGAAGAAGGAAAGGAACATATGGTGTGTAAACTTAAGAAATCAATATATGGACTTAAACAAACTTCTCGACAATGGTATCTTAAGTTCAATGATACTATTATGTCCTTTGGATTTAAGGAAAACACTGTTGATCGGTGTATATATCTGAAGGTCAGTGGAAGCAAGTTTATATTTCTAATTCTGTATGTTGATGATATCTTGCTTGCGACTAATGATCTTGGTCTATTAAGTGAGACTAAGAAGTTTTTCTCTAACAACTTTGAAATGAAACATATGGGCGAGACATACTATGTGATAGGAATAGAAATATTTTGTGATAGATTAAAAAGACGATTAGGTTTGTCTCAGAAAACATATATTAATAAAATTTTAGAGAGATTCAGAATGGAGAAGTGTTCAGCATCTTCCG